AGGAGCAGGACCCCACAAATCTGAGTGAATAAGATGTAAAGGGGCAGGAGTTTTTGTAGTGGACCTTAAAAACGACAAGCGACAACTTTTATTAATGGAACAGCTTAAGCAACTAGATATATTATTGTTTCCAACAAAAGACGTGCATTTATTTCTGACTAAGTTATCAGAATACGTGGTCCAAGGTGACCCAGATGCTTATGCTAATTATCAAGAGAAATATTCTTTCAAGCCATGGCTGCAATGACATTAGAAGAAGGACAAGGATAATAGGGTTGCGCTTGTAGAGGAAATAGGGAGTCTTTAATCTTGCCTTAGTGAAGTACTCTCCCTGTTTGTCGGTCCTTTATAGAGAAACCATCACGAGAAAAAGAGAGGACGCAATTATTTTCATAGAGCAAACGAGAAGAAGAAAGTAAGTTTGTTGTTAAATGTGGCACATGTAAAGTATCTTTTAACTTAAAATTAGGAGTAGAAATATGAAAATCACCAATGGAATGTATAGGTATGGTATTACCATTTGCGAACACAACTTAATCTGAACCAGCGTATGCTTGTCAGTTCACCATGTGTGAGTCATCAGGTGTCATGTGATTGGTAGCACCAGAATTTGGAAACCATGTGGAATCTGATAGAGAGGAGAAATTCATGGTAGAGAATGTTGTATGAAGATCATTAGGTTATTGTGCATAGTTGTAGCGTTGACGGCATGTGAGCACACCATAACCTACCTTAATGTAAAGCTGGCAGATAAGAAGCGAATTGGTGGTAGAATTTTGAGAGTAGGTTGGAAGTCTATCACCATGAACATGACTACAATAAGCGCCTCTATAAGTGCCATGATTGTGATAGGAATGATGTTGATTGTTATGAGTGTGATGCTAATTGTTACGCCCTCTTCCTTGATTGGAAGAATTTCCATGATTATGGTTGCTATACATGAAGAGAACAGTATTTTCACGATCTGGATTTGGTTTATGATAGATTTTCAATCGTTTCTCATGATTAAGAAGCATGTTGTAAAGTTCTTCAAATGAAGGAGAAATAGACATAATTTGAACAAAATTGACTATAACATCATAGTCATGATCGAATCAGTCAAGAACACAACCAATCAAATCCTTATCGGTAATGGGCTGATGAAAAAAACAAAGCTCATCTGAGAGCATTCTGATACGATCCATCTATTCAGTGATTGAAGAAGATCCTTTCCAAATATTGGAAAGTTCATGCTTGATCTGAAAATACCTAGCATTTGTCTTAGACATGTAGGCACGATATAAGGCTACCCATGTATCATAAGAAGTTTTGTAACCCACAACTTGTGCGAGTTCTTAGATGAGTTAACATAACATATAGCCAACTAAGAAGAATCTAATCTTTCTTCTTCCATTCAAGGTATTTTGGATTTGGAGCCACTACAGAATTTTCAGAGATAGTGGTTGGTGGAGCTGTGATTGTGCCATTAACCATACTTAACATCTCAGTCCCATAAAGAATGGTGAGGAGTTGGCTCTTCCACAACAAATAATTTGATCTATCGAGCTTAATAGATACTTGTGCCAAGTTTGGGATTCCTAGAATATGTGATAGAAGAAAGGGGAATGATAGAGGTGAAGCATTGGTTGAAGTGGAGGAGGTTGAATCGGAGGCCATGAGATCAGATTGTGGTAGAAAGTGGGGAGGAATTATGAGAATAATATATATATATATAGGTATTATTGGCTTTGATACCAAGTGAGTAACTGAGAATAGATGAGAGAAAAAGATAATAATTTGGAAAATTTTCACCACACCGAAATGATGGTGTCCTATTGTGTATTTATAGTTATAACAATAAAAGAGATATGATAGATTCTCTCAATAAACTTATCTGTTTGTTGTTACAACAATAAGAGAGATATAGAGAGATTCTCTCAACAAACCTATTTGGATTTCCCTTTGACCTGATTTTCTGGTTTGTCCAATATATCGTACAATTTCTAGCCACTCAAGCATTAGTGACATGGAATGTCACGATGAAAATGGTTCCTCTTCAGTCAAATCTCACTCTCATACTATGCAAAAATCCTCCGATTCAACTTCAGCCACATCATCATCATGTTGAAATTTGCGTGAGAAATGAATTTGCAAGTGATAAAGTTAAATAAGATGACATAGCTGAAACTAAACCGCAAGATTAAGTATTGCAGAGCTTAGAAGAGATTTGACTGAAGAGGATCCTTATATGTAATTATTGTTGTGATATTTACAAACAACATTAATTTAGCATTACTTGCACGGAGTAGCACAACTCGCAAGGCATTTTGAGTACTCCCCTTAGGTCTTCAGTTTGAGATTCACGAAAGATGAGGTTTGAACTTATATAATGCATGGGCAATTGTGTGCATCCAAAGTTTTCAAATCATCAGTCAGAAGTGAATAGCAGGAGGATTATTCTTCGTTACCAAATAAAAATAAATAAATAAATTATTTAACACCTTCACGTGCTTTGTATATTCATTCCAAAATGACCTTTTACTTAGTTTGCAACCTTCATTTAAATAAAAAGGAGATGAGTAAAAAATATCAAATATTTACGGGTTTTCACTGTATCTGCCAAATGTGTGATATCCTAGGATTTTATTGGGCCTTTTAATCATGTTTAGTGATTCTTAATAGTTCTTAGTGACTTTTAATCATGCTTAGCGACTTTTAATCGTGTTTAGTGACTTTTAATCGTGTCTAGTGAGTTAATTGCTTTTATTGGGGGCATTAGTGTAATTAAACTTGTTAGTAGGGAGAGTTCTGGAATTTCGTGAAAGTTGGCTGGTGTGGTCCTAGTGGCGTCCTTTAATACACTTAGTTGATAGTCGTTTCCCGCATGCCACCACAGGACACATTTTGTCCCCAACTATACAGATGTTGCTGCCTAGTCTTCTTTTACATGCACACATAAACCAAGTCAGAGAAAAGAGCATAGAAGATGGGAAAGCAAGAGAGCTCTAGCAGTGAGGTTTGCTGAGAGAAAGAGAGAAGAAGGTGAGGAAGGAAGAAGAGAGAAGGAGCTGGGTTATAGAATTCATCATCATCACTCTTGGGTAGGGTTTTCTATAGCTTGAGTTGGTTGGAGTGATTTTACTCTCTAAATTTCTAAATTCCTTTATTGAGAGCCATGAAAACTTCTATTTTTGATTATTGCTTGTGCTTTCCTCGCTGATATTAATTTCTATACTCAAATCATCTTGATCCTTTATGCTATGCTCGAGTAGATTCGAGGAGGACAGAGGTGGCTGGTGTTCGCTTGAGGTGAGAAGTCTAAATGGAGTTGGCATTTGGAAATTCATCAGAAAGGGATAGTATGAATTTTCTAAGCATATCAGATTCCGAGTTAGGGATGGTAGCATAATTCATTCTTTGGAGGATGTCTGGTGTGGGGAGTGGTCTCTTGCTTTCTCCTTTCCCAAACTCTTCAGGATTGCCACAGACAGGCACACCTCGGTGAGTGATTGCTATTATCTTGATAGTGGAAGAACATTATGGGATGTGCGTTTTTTGAGGCATTTTTAGGATTGAGAGATTGAGGAAGCAATTGGTTTTTTGAAGTTTTTATATCGCTAAGAGATTGTCAGTGGTGCCCCTGCTTCTTTGATATGGGTCCGCTCTTATAAGGTCATTTTAAGGTTCAGTTATTCTTTAGATGTCTTACAATTTTTCCAAGAGAAACATTCTCGTGGAAGGCCATTTGGCGTTCTAAGGCCCCCCTCAAGGTGGCTTTTTTAGTTTGCAAATCTATGTTCGGAAAGATGATAAGATGAGGAGACAAGTTTGGTCAACTGTTGTTGTATATGCAAGAGAGATGAGGAAATGGTTAATCATGTCCTTTTACATTGTCTAGTGGCTCGGATTACTCGGCTTTGATGTTGGGTTTGTTTGGGGTTCAGTGGGTTATGCCCAGATCTTCTAGAGGCTTGATTGAGACCTGGAGAGGTTATATAGTTGGGGCCTATGTTCGTGATTTTTGGAGGATTATGCCCTTGCGCATTTGGTGGTGTTTATGGCTTGAAAGACACAGGAGATCCTTTGAAGGGAAGGAGACTTCTATTGGTGTGTTGAAATTCTCCATTATTAGCTATCTTTTTGTTGGGTTCTTAGGAGAAATTGTAAATCGTTGGATGAGATAGTGGACTTTTTAGACTCTTTGAAAGATTAGAGGCCCTATTTGGTGTTGTGTAACTTTTGAGAGATCCCTTTTGAATGTTTCTTTATATACAATCCTACTTATCAAAAAAAAAAAAAAAAAAATTTTGCTTGAGTTTCTTGTCTCAATTTTATTGAAATACGCCTCCGTACTGACTACCTTGTTTTGTTATAAAAAATTGGCTATGTATTTCTGTGGAACTTCTCTCATGTGCTTCAAACTTTCTTGAGACACTCATTATATTTTAGTCTATTCCTACCGAGCTGTTAGCTCACTCTTATCATTTTCAGGTACCAAGGAGCGAGTGGAGGGATTCAGGAGTGTAGACTACACTGTGTAAACAGTGTATGTGAGGTGGTTGCTAAAATGCTTATATATGTGAATTTGTTGATTTTGATGTAAATGAAGTTAGATTATACCATAATTTGCGGATGGCATGTTTTCTAAGTGATTGGACTTTATTTTGTTGTGGGTTGCTGTTGTGATTTTGATGATAGAATGTATTCTGTTGTGGGATTTGTTTGTCAAAACTGTGTGATTTTTTTTTTTCATATAAACCACCATTTATTCATTGGCTATGGTTTTGGGTCGTGACAAAATGCCCCAATGTGAAGACAACTATCAATTTCAAACTATGCTTGATCAATCTAATACAACCGGCACTTATAATATCTAATCGCTTACAAGTTGATTTTCATTTCCTTTTCAATCAGAAAGATAAAGTAATTATAGGAACACGGGTTAATACAAATCAAAAAGATTAGCATTAGCACAGCAGAATAATTTGAACATTGCATGAGAAGGTAAAGCAAGAGACAAGCATGGGTAATCAGTGTAATCTCTGTAATAATTCAAACAGATCCCTGAGTAAAGCAATAGACACACATTGTCGGTTCAAGAACAGAGTAAAAGGGAAACTGAAAAGAGAAGGTGCCTCCAATTTCATCCAGCTGACTTGTTTCATAGTAAGTTTACAACAACATATGAGGTTTGACTTGAAGTCACCTCCATAAACAAAAGAGAGAACAAAATTGAAAAAAGAAAAAGATGCACATACAATCAATATCAGTTTTAGAGTGTGAGCTATAAGTTGTAATTATCAAGACCAAGATCCCTGAGTGCATCAGTAGCAGCTTCCTTGCAGCTTTCATTGTTTTCCTTGGCCTTCCTTATGAGCTTCTCGATACCATTACTGAGCAAAATAGTTCTGCACAATGAAAAATTGGTTTCACAAATATAATTTTGTCATCAGAAAAATCCCCTACTTCTGCCTAACTTGTGCCTAGTGTCTGTCTTTACACAGATACAACTGGAATGAAAGGATAACATCTCAGATATTTCAGAAATAAGCAAGGCCCATTACAATGGCACCAGGTAATCAAAAAAAGGGGTAAGCACAGATAAAAATTAGTCCAATATAGCAAGTATAGATCAGGTACTTACAATAGAAAAACATTGATGAGTAAGGAGATAGAGTTGGTAAACACTATGATTAGAGTTGGTCTTTTTTGGTGTCATCTCCAATTAGGCGATTCTTGAACGCGGCTAGGGTTTGGTACGTGCTATGGTCAGGGATGAAATCCTTTCTTGAGGTTACAAGGATTCCAAGGATTTCACTTGGGGGGGATGTTAAGATGGCGATCCCTCATCGAGGGACATCGCTGTATACCGACGAGGAGTCCGTTGGAGGAAGAAAGGTGGAGCTTTCATCCTGCTTGGTTGGACGATTTGATAAGGAGGTTGGGGGGTGTGATCGAGTAGAGGAGTGGGCGGCGCGGGCATGGAATACGTTGTGTGGGTGTGATGCCCTTATTTGATTCGCTTCTCTTATTTAGGTTTCCATCTATGGCGGAGGCTCAAAGGGTGTTGAAGGAAGGCCGGCGACAGTGGGGATCTGCAACCTTCAGGATTGATGTGTGGTCTTTTAGGGTCAGTTGTTTTGGTGTGCTCAGGGATAAAGGGCTTAAGCAGATTCAGATGTTGGGGCTTCCATTGCATCTATGGTGTCAGGCCTTGTTTGTTGAAGTGGGGGAGTTATGTGGTGGATTTGTGAGAGTAGATGCGGATGAATCGAGGGATGCTGAAAGTGTTCGGATTATAGTGAGAAATGGTTCAAATTGCCCGAAGTTTGTGTTCATCCATGATAATATCACACTTCGAAAATAACTATCACTCCGACCCCAAATTACTTTTCCGTCAATGGCACCATTAAAACATACAAAATGACAATTTTACCCCAATTTTTAAATACTTTTTATTCCAAAATATCAAAAATTAAAAGGACTATAATGCCCTCATTAATTAATAAATAACATAAACCTCACCCAGCCAATTTCACACTCTCTTTCTCTCTCTCTTCACCTTACACAATACGTGATCTTTTCAGCAATCTAGGAAGCTGTGGTTTTAAGGGCTTGAATAGACGATGGTGATGGTTGGGGGCTTGTAACATGAAGGTGAACAGTGAACAGTGAACAAAGGGTTGTGGGTTTGATAAACAGTAAACAATAGGTTATGGGTTTGATGAACAATGCAAAATGCTTGTACCTCTGCCGCTGGCTTGACACCATCCTCGCCAACGAGGTCTATAACATCGATGATTTGTCCCACTTCGATGCCCAACAGTATTTCTTCTTCCACTTTCTCATCCAAAATTAGGGTTTTTTTTTTTTTTTTTTTTAATTTGTTTGTTTGTTTAATTTGTTGAAATCCCTTTGTTTCAGTCATCTCCATTTGAACTAGATTGTTAAATATATATATATGTGTGTGTGTGTTTATCTATATATTATTGTGTTGAAAAGGAAAGATTTGGTAGTAATACTACCAAATATTATTAGCTGTAAATATAATATTTGGAGAATATTTTCTTTAAATAGAATATTGGTCAAATGCTGTAAAATAGGAAATTATTAATTAGGCCAGCTAGGTATGTACGTGTATTCTCTCCTATAAAGAGAACCTGTGTAAACTCGTGAATTGAGTGCTAATAAAGAGAAAAAGGTTTTTCTATTTTTCTTTTCTTTATAGTTTATATGGTATCAGAGCCACCCTAAGGAAAAAAAAAAAAAAAAAAAAAAAACCTAATTTTCTTTTCTGCACAATTTCTTCACTGATCAGCCATGTCTGACGGTTCCTCCATGTCATCCTCGCCTATCACAACCCAGTCAACAAATCCGACAACCCAAGTCCCCAGTACCGATTCTCACTCGGTTCAGATCACCAATATTCGCCTTAATGGTGACAATTGTTTACGGTGGTCCCAGTCCGTTCGGATGTACATCAGAGGGCGGGGAAAGATCGGGTACCTGACGGGAGACAAGAAGGCACCAGCATCGGAGGACCCAACGTACGTGACCTGGGATGCAGAAAATTCAATGGTGATGACTTGGCTTGTGAACTCCATGGACGAGGATATTAGCTCCAACTATATGTGCTACTCCACAGCTAAGGAGCTCTGGGACAACGTGAATCAGATGTACACTGATTTGGGAAATCAGTCTCAGATCTACAAATTGACTCTAAAACTTGGTGAGATTCGGCAGGGAGAAGACTCGATCACCAAGTATTTCAATTCATTAAAGCGCATTTGGCAGGACATGGATCTATTCAATGATTATAAATGGAAATCCACTAAAGATGCCAATTACTACAAACGGACCGTGGAGGCTCATCGTAATTACAAATTTCTTGCTGGGCTCAACGTGGAATTTAATGAAGTACGAGGACGGATCATTGGCAGGACTCCACTTCCTCCAATTGGTGAAGTGTTTGCTGAGATTCGAAGAGAAGAGGGCCGCAGACATGTAATGTTGGGGAAGAAGACTACCACTGGACCTGTTGAAAGTTCTGCCTCTATTGTTGCCGAGACTGCTGCTAATAAAGCAGTCAATTTTCAGCGAAAACCTGAAGAAAAGCCACGGGTTTGGTGCGAATTTTGCAACAAACCACGCCATACTCGAGAGAACTGTTGGAAAATCCACGGAAAACCAGCGAATTGGAAGAGTAGCAAGCCTGGTGACAGAAATAGGCGTGCGGTTCCTACTGCCAATGAAGCTGAGACAAGTCCCTTAAGCAAGGAGCAGATGGATCACCTTCTGAAGCTGCTGAAATTTAATTCCTCATCTGGTATTCCTAATGTTTCTCTTGCACAAACAGGTAATGCACTTAATGTCCTTTCTTGTTGTTTAAATTATACTCCATGGATCATCGATTCTGGAGCCTCTGATCATATGACCAGCCTTTCCAATCTTTTTAGCACTTACTCACCATGTTCTGGTCTTGAAAAAATTAGAATTGCATATGGTAGTTTCTCACCTATTGCAGGAAAAGGTTTGATAAAATTATCCGAGAATATAAATCTTAAAAATGTTCTCCATGTCCCTAAACTAGCCTGTAACCTTTAGTCTGTGAGTAAACTAACCAAAGAATCTAATTGTCATGTAATTTTCTATGATTCTTACTGTGAATTTCAGGACCGGAGCTCGGGGAAGAAGATTGGCAGTGCTAAGATAATAGATGGACTTTACTACTGTGATGGGGACTTCTCCAGTAATAAAAAGGCTCAGGCCTTAGTAGTGTTAGTTCTAACTCTGTTTATGAACAAATAATGTTTTGGCATTTAAGACTTGGACATCCTAACTTTCTATATCTTAAACATTTGTTTCCTACTTTATTTAAATGTTTGGATTGTTCATCGTTCTATTGTGAAAGTTGTTGCTTATCTAAGAGTCGTCGTACTACTTATTTGCCAAAACCTTATACTTCTTCAAAACCATTTTATTTAATACATAGTGATGTTTGGGGACCTTCAAGAGTTACTACTATCTCTAGGAAAAAATGGTTTGTTACTTTTATAGATGATCATACCCGTTTATGTTGGGTTTATTTGATGAATGAAAAATCTAAGGTTGGAAAATTTTCTAAGGATTTTTACACAATGGTTGAAACTCAGTTTCAAGCAAAAATTAGCATTTTTCACACCGATAATGGAACCGAATATTTTAATGAAAATTTGGGGAGTTTTTTGAAAGAAAAAGGTATTCATCATCGGTTTACGTGCGTGGATACCCCTCAACAAAATGGAATTGCTGAAAGAAAAAATAAACATTTACTTGAAGTGGCTCGTGCTATAATGTTTTCAATGAATGTTCCAAAATATCTTTGGGGGGAAGCTGTTTTAACAGCTTCGTATTTGATTAATAGAATGCCTTCACGTGTTTTAAAATATAGCATGCCATTAGAATGTTTCAAAAGAACTTTTCCATTATCAAGGATATACTCGGATTTACCTCTAAAGGTTTTTGGCTGCATAGCTTTTGTTCATATACCCAATAATACTCAGTCCAAACTTGATCCTCGAGCTGAAAAATGTGTTTTCATAGGGTATGCTTCTAATCAAAAGGGATATAAGTGCTACAATCTCCAAACAAGAAAATTTTGTGTAAGTATGGATGTCTCTTTCTTTGAAAATAAATCCTACTTTCCCAAAAATTTTCTTTAGGGGGAGAATGAGATGATGGAAGAAATTTTTTGGGATTTATCTCCTACTCCTTTACCAAATGTGATTTTGACTCCTTCACCTCATCCTACTGTTATTCCCGAAATTCAAAGTCAGGAACAATGTGATAAAACCAATGAAAACAATGAAGAGAATCCTAGTCATATAGTGCCAAATATTATTGTATCTGAAACAGGGGAAGAATCACTACAACCGGGCACAAAAGTTCCCAATACTGAGCCTCTGGTTTATACTCGAAGAATACTTAATCAAAAGAGTCAAAGTCAGCCTATTCTTCTTGGAATTGATCAATCTCAATCTCCGGGAACTGGACTTCCAGATATCATAGGTAATTCTGATCCTAACTCATCTTCAGTTCCTATTGCTTCTCCTTCTCAAGAACCATCAGACCTTGATATTCCTATAGCTGTTAGGAAAGGTATTCGAATCAAATATCCAAATCCAAAATATCCCATTGCCAAATACCTTTCTTATGACAAACTCTCTCATACTCATAGGGCTTTTGCCTAAAAAATCTCACACTTGTTTGTCCCGAGAAACATTCAGGAAGCTCTTGATGATCCGAATTGGAAGTTAGCAGTGATGGAAAAGATGAATGCTCTTAGAAGAAGTAGTACTTGGGAGATAATTGATTTACCTAAGGAGAAAAGAACAGTAGGCTGCAAGTGGGTCTTTACGGTGAAATGTAA